AGAGAGAGAGAGAGAGAAAGAAAGAGCGACTTCGATTTTCTTACGTGCTGAAGTAAGGATGAGACACGGGATGCTTAATATTGCTCACACCCTTCTGCTGTGTGTAGAAGTCATCAAACAGAGAGAGAAACGCTTGACATTCTAGATTCACTTAAAGCTCAAGTCGACGAAGCTAGAGAGTGGACAGCATCCTTGCATATATCTAGGTATACGGGTGTGAGTGTCATAAGTCCCTTTGGTGCTGATACTTTTTCCAATTCTTTTTATATTTCCTTCTTAAGATTTGTAATATGCTTTCAAGGCCTGAATCAAGGGTGTCGGAACCTATATATCAGTTTGTTGTAAAATTTAGCGGAGATTGATCAATAGTCTTTGGAACTCCTCATTACTGTAGTTATATGTAAAAAACTCCTACTATATGGCATTTAGGGTGAAAGTGTCCCTCTGTGTGTTAGTTCTCCCGATTTTCTTCGATATTCTGGAATCGTAATCATAATTTTTACTGGCACATTTGGGGCGTTACACTCAGAAATCTGAATATAAGAGAAAAACAATGTTCAAGACTTCAACATTTTTATGATGATAAATGGGGCTAAATTGTTCCATTGCTTTTGAAGCTCTTGGAGCTTGAATTTAACTGCAGTAGAATGTTAGATCTTGATAGGGCTGTGCCCTATTCCAAGCATAGTTAATTATATTGCAAGCATATTGCTTTTCTAAACTTTGTATATCTTGTATAATATTACTTTTTAGTTGTTTGGTGAGTACCATTATGTCTCTGCCTATTGTGATAGCTGTTGTTTGGATTAGGCTAGCTTAACGACTGAACTCGTTGCAATTCAGCAAAGACTGAATCCAACGCGCCCTTAGCCTCGTGTAGCTTAACGACTGAACTTGTACCAACCCGCCTTATCTGCTACACAAGCTGGCTTCGAAGGTTCTTTGAACGCAAAAAATAGGACTTAGCTGTTTGTTCGTCGCACTTATGAGCCATCGCGATCTTCGATACCAGTCGCCTCTTTTTGTAGCTCTAGAAAAAGATAGCTGAGCTCCCAAACTCTATAGAATGACGGTAGCTTAGGTCATCCCATACTTCCTTTGTAGTAGCCTGGTTCCACTACCTTTTCTTAGTTAGGGTCCACCACCCCGCTACCATTTTAACCGCGGAAGCAACTCTATAGACTAACTACATGAACACTACACTAATTCGGGGTGGGCTTAGATCGTCGGTAGCCGACAACATTCAGTAGCTGTCGCGCAGGAAAAAGGAAGAAGCTCCTCCTTATCTATAGAATGACGGTATTCTAGAAGGTCCATCAAGTTGCTTCCAAACCGGTCTGTCTATAGAATGACGGTAACAAGAGTGAGGTCCCAACCGTAACCCACCTCTCTCCCAATGGAGCAACAACAGTACCCAACCCTTTATCCACCATGAATGAAACCAACAGGAGTCTGAGTACCTAATTCACCAATTTAAAGCCAACCCATAAAGGGCCAACTAGCCAAGACATATCAGGCAGATTTTCTCTTTAACGAAAATGGTAAAACCAATACAGCGGACTCGCTCCATCTCTATGACCAGGGTTTTTAATTCACGGCCTCCATAAATGTAACAAAACCCTTCTCAAATCATGATCATCGTTTCTCAGAACTCCCAGTTTTGCCTCTCTTCTCCCATTAGTGGGATATAAACCATCTCTCTCCACTGGTTACCTATCGCAGTGCATCATCTCTCACTAGCTGCAAAGACCCCAAAATGCCAAACACCATCCCCTCTCTCTCTCCTTGCTGCCTCCCTCTCTCTTCTCCAAACAACAAATCTCTCTTAAACCCTTTGCGACTCCACAAAACCCTCCTCTACCCTACCTGCAAAATGGCCCCCCCTAGTGGTGGTAGATTCAACCTCTAACCCTTTCCAGCTGCCATTGAAAGGAAAAAGGTTTTCAAAAAACCTGAAGCTTTCTTTAGAGAATGCTCCATTTTTTCTTCATCTTTTTCATGTCTTAGGCCTCAAGTCATATGCATTATATGTGAAGCTCTGGATGGTGTGTCCTCAGCCATTAGAGAAAGTGATGAGAAAACTTCATTTATGGAAGATGTGTGGTCCAGATCCAGATGTGCTGTTGGAATTAGTAGGGTTTTATGGGATGGCCATATTTGGGAGAAAGCAGTTGTTAATGTCTCCATTGTTTACGGAACATTGCCATTTGGTGCTTATAGGGTAGCAAAGGGAAATGCCTCTTCTGATCCTAGTGTGAAGCTTGGGCTTCTGCCTTTGTTTGTGGCTGGTTTTAGTACTGGACTGATTTATTTATTATTTGCTATAAGGTTTTGAATAGTAGTAGGAACATAGATAGATAGAGAGAGAGAGAGAGAGAGAGAGAGAGAGAGAGAGAGAGAGAGAGAGGATGATTTTCTTGGTTCAATGAGAAGACCCTTCTCTTGATTCTCCACCCTCTGTCAACTGTTCTCTCTCTCTCAATGGATGTTTGAGATAACCCTAATCACAATGTCATGCCTAAACACTATTTTATTTTAAATTTTTTTCTACAAATCATATTGACATAAATTTTTTTCTACAAATTATTGACATCAAATTTTGGGTGTCCCATCCTCTCATAGAGTTGCACCTATGAAAAATATTGAAAAATAAAATGACCAAGATACCTCCAAAAGTTTCAGGGGCAGTTTGGTCATGTTAGTTTTTTGAAAATATTTTTTTAATATTGTTTGTAGGTGCACCCTATTGAGATGATGACACACACCAAATTTTATGTTAATATGATATGGAGAAAAATTAAAAATAAACTACTCTGAGACGTCAAATTTGGATCAAACGGTGACCAGCTTGTGATGTTATGGCTAAAGTTATCCCAATCATTCATTTATATAAGACTGCTGGGGGAGAGTGGCATATATAAATTTGCTGTGCCTAGTGGCATATAGAAAGCTTTTCAGATAAGCACTATTGGAAACCACCTAAAAGCGTATCTCAAACACATCTTTAGCATATGTGGTACTTTGGATAACTTAATCATGGATAATCAACACTTATCAAGACTATCTTGTGCATCCAAACACACCCCAAGTTTCCATTGCAGCGTGCCTATAATGTACTAACTGAACAAAGAAAAATGAAGTCTTTGGTTTTGAAATTAAGACAGCTTGATTTTTGAGTTGCTTTTTGTACAATTATCTTGGTGCCTCAATAGTTTTTTTTGTAATTGCAGGAAAAATGAAAGGTTTGGCATTCATTAAAGACCCTGATGGCTATTGGATAGAAATATTTGATCTATCTAGGATAGGGCAAATAGCAGCCAATGCTGCTTAATAAAGTGAGTGCATCCTACCTTGCCAGTTGATATTCTTTCCTTGAGAAACTGCTCTCTTTATTTCGATATTTGTTGCTGCTTGCCTTTCTGATGTAATATATATGTAACATATGAATCTATTTATTATGGTATGCTCTTGTTCCCAAATTGCTTATTCGAGGAAATAGAATTGAATATGGATCCTTCCGTTTTAACAGGAATTGGAGAAAAGAGCACGCAGTGATGGTCTTCATAGTATCATATTTGGTCCTGCTGGTATGCCTGGAAATACAAGTTCCTATGTTCCTGTTATTCTGTTTGATATGACAAAATTGAAGGCATTCTATGACCGATAAAAAAAGTAATGCAGCATCATGTGATGACTAAATAAACAAGTTGAGATGGTAATGGAAATGTACCCTCTTTACACGGTCAGGCAGTGAAATGTTGCTGTAAATCCTTGAGTATCAGTTTCTATAAGTTTTTACTATTATTTGTATATAGATCATCTTTATGTTGTGGTTAGTGCACATATTGCTTGCCATCAACATGAGCCCATGGAGCCACTCTTCAGGTTCAACCCAGTGGTTTCAGCAATACAATAGAAATCACCTTTGTTTTTTGTAATGGCTTGGTTTTTAAGAGCTTTTTTATAAATTTCATAGCCTATAGGGCATGGATCCCCACTTATACTCCCTCATTCTTTTGTATTTCTTATGATCCCAGGGCTCAACCACTCAAAAGTTCTCTTCATTGCCGTTTTAATTTATTTGTTATACCCAGTTGTTCAATGGAACAGTTTTTCTGTTTCACTTTGAATGTCTCCTCACTTTTATTGCTTATGTTTCTCGTTTATTGCTTGTATTTTTCATTCAATATCTTTTACTAGTTTTTTTTTTCTCTTTTTATGCTTTATGTGGCTTTCTCATCATTTTTAGATAGTGACCATCATTAGGTTTGATAAATTCCTCTACGTTTTGTCTGGGGTATGTTGTTCCGCTTTCTGTTAAAACTGAATTATAGGTTTGAGTTTGTTTGCTACTTAACCCATCAGTTCTCTATTTCAATGTTTACATTATAACTATTATGTTACTCCACCAAACTTTTAATGTGAGAGACCCAAGAAAGTGCTATATCACTGTCTTCGTCTCCAAAAGCAGTCCTCTCAACAAAAGAGCTCCAACAATGCTGCAAATTCTTTGCCATGACATGCCATGCCAAGCCATCCAATCAAATAGGCGTTGGACTAGAGGGATTTGAGCTCCAAATCAAATTTTATTCATGGAAATGACCCCAAAAACAATTTCAAAAGAGAACATATATTTTTTTGAGCTCCTAAGATGCTTTGAATTTATTGCTACTTGAAACTAAACTAGCCTCTTGAGTTTGAATGAATTATGGTGTTGGAAAGCAGGGTGAAATAGGGGCAGAGAAAAAAATACTAATTTCTTCTTGTTTTTGGGCAATGCAAGAGCACTTTCTCAAGCCAATATTTGCCCATTTTGTATCTTATAACCAGTGTGCATAAATTGAGCATATTTGTCTTTCGGACACAGGAAAGAAAGTCTCAAATTTGCTTTATGAAGTCTCAAATTCACTTTTAGGTTCCATGCATGCAAACCAGAAGCACTGTATGTATTGTAGTTGTATTGTTTTAGAGAAGGAACGTAAATTTGATTAGATAGTGAGAAGTTGGGTAGAGAGAGAGAGTAAAGGCATATCTGAAAATGAGAAAAAAGAACCCATCTATAGATGTTAGAATGGCCTATGGAAGTGACTGCTTACTTGAAACATTGTAACTGTTCATCAATGGTTAGTAACCACTTGATGTGCCTGCTTAATGACTATAATTGCGGCCAAATGTTCTAAGAGCTGGCAAAATGGTTTGAACTAGTTTGATCATGATACTGCTAATAGAAGGGGAATGGAGGAATATGTAGAAGATGGAGAGTCTTCTTCCTTCTCTTTAATGCTATTGATCGTTCTTTGGTGGATGGTTTGGTATCAAAGACTAAGCTTTGTGTAGTGGGTTCTTTCTCCCTTCCATCTGGTGACGTTGTTGTTCTTGATGATTGGGCTAGGAGGGGGTGGGGTCTGGATTATGTCCCAGCACTAAAGGTTCTTGGTGCAAATAAGGTGGCTTTCTACTACAATCAGGGACGGATGTTATTAAAGCTTTACAACGTAGATTTCCCAGGGTGAGGGGTAAACTTCTATCTTTGGATTGTTGGAAACCCACTATTCATGAGTCCTTTATGCGTAGAGAAGAGATTTGGATCATGTTGAGGGGGATACCATTGCATGCATGGAGCTTAACCATTATACAAAAACTCGCCAACTTCTGTGGTGACTGTTTGGATGTTGATTGGGATTCTCTTATTGGGAAGGATTTTAAGTATGTTAGAGTTAAAATTTGGAGAGTTCGGGGTCTCGTTATTCCCAAGAGAATCCATTTGCAAGTGGATCAGATATCTTTTGAGGTAACTGTGTCAGTTGAGGGCACTACTACCTTGGTTAAAAAAATTGATAATCATTGAAAATTTCGGATAGAGGAAAGGGAGCCTTACAATCTGGTGAAGTAAAGAAGGATATCGAGTGGCAGAGGGTCTCTGCCCGGAAAAACCATGATGTTCATGCTCAGAATTGTTCATTAGGGGTGGATTTTGATAGGGGTAGCCTTTTTTGTTGACCATGGAGGACGTACCTAGTGCCCCCGTTTCGAGCACTTAGTGGGGGCCATGGCAGTAACCCCCAAGTGGACTCACCGTCTTCCTTGAATATTCATTTTGAACCTTCTAAACCTTTGGGACCATGGAGAGAAATTTGAAGAACAAGAAATCGAAGATGTAGTCTTTGGCCTAGGCAGAGATGAGGTTCCTGGCTCAGATGGATACCCAATGGTTTTTTTTCAATCGTTTTGGGATATTTTAAAAGATGATATTGTTCAATTATTGGAAGAATTTTATTGGAGATGTAAAGTTAATATTGCCATAAATTCCACTTTTATTGCTTTAATTCCAAAGAAAAATGTAATTTCGGAGATCAAAGATATTCGTCCTATTAGTCTTATTAGTAGTCTATATAAAATCATAGCAAAAATTTTAGCCAATAAACTGCGCAGAGTGATTCACATGGTTATTAAAGGAGCACAATCAGCATTCTTGAAGGATAGACAAATTATAGATAGTATTTTGGTTGCACAAGAATATATCCACTCAACAATCAAGGATGACAAGCCGGGCCTTATTTGTAAGCTAGACTTTGAGAAGACATATGATAAGGTTGATTGGGGAGTACTACAAACTATCATGGCTAAAATGGCTTTTCATTTGAGGTGACAATTGTGGATTGATAGTTGCCTGTCTTCTACCCATTTTTTTGTTCTTGTTAATGGTGAACCAACTGGTTTTTTAAAGGATAAAAAAGATTGAGACAAGGGGACCCTCTTTCACCATTTTTATATACTTTTGTAGCTGAGAGCTTTAGTGTCATGCTCAATGGATTGACAATGCAAATGATCATATCAGCTATTAATATTGATAATAATGGTCTTATAGTATCACATTTACAGTATGCTGATGATACAATTATATTATGTGATCCCACGTTAAGGAAATCACTTGCCTATGGATTTTCTTGAAAAATGTGGAACTCTCAATTGGACTTAAAGTTAATTTGAGTAAAATCAATCTTATTGGTATTGGCTGTCCGCAAATGGTTGTATCAAGAATGTTACATTTATTAGGTTGTGGGGTTGAGTCTTTATTTTTTACTTATTTGGGAATTCCCTTAGTGGATTCGTGGCCTTCAAGATCAATTTGAGATCCGGTGGTGGAGAGATTTGACAAGAAACTGGACACTGGAAAGCTAAAACTCTTTCTATGGCGTGAAGATATACGTTGATTAAATTTACTTTGTCCAACCTCCTAGTATATTTTATGTCCTTATTTAAGATGCCAAAAGAAGTTGAAAAACAACTAGAGAGAATTATGAAAGATTTCTTGTGGGGAGATGACATAAGAAAGAAAAGATTTCACCTTCTGAGTTGGGAAAAAGTTTGTAGACCAATGAAAGAAGGAGGATTGGGTGTTAGGAGACTGAAACATATGAACTCGACACTTTTAATAAAATAGTGGTGGATGATCCATTCACAACCGAAGTCTTTCTGAGTGCTTGTTCTGAGAGATAAATATGGAATGGATTTGAGCTTTGGCCTCATTAAAAGTCCAAGAAACAAGATAAATTTTTCCCATGTTTGGAGAGGTATTGACTATGAGAGATTTGTATATCTATGGCAATTCCAAAAAATAGTGGGGAATGGATAATCCACTCTCTTTTGGTTTGACAAATGGATTGGAGATGACCCGTTGAGATACTTTTTTCTTGAGGTTTTCTTAAAAGCTTTAAACCCACTAGCATCTGTCAAGGAGGCCAGTGGGAGTGTTTAAACTAATATTGGTTGGTCCATTCCTTGCAGCTACAGGAGAGGTGCAGACAGATTCATTGAGAAGTATCAAACATTGTTGGAATTATTGAATGATACATATTTGACTCGAAATATGGATGATAGCTTCATTTTTGGGAGATTTTTCAGTTAAGTCAACCTACAATCTATTATTTTCTGATCGTTGGAGAGACTGGGATCTTGGTTTATTCAAGATTAAGAAATTGCATTTGCCTCTTAAAGTGCAACTATTCTTATGGAACTTTTCCTAAGATAAATTAGCAACTGTTGAAAACTTGAGAAAGATGGGGTTTATTATCACCAATGTATGTATTCTTTGCAAAGACAGTGATGAAACTTCGTAGCATCTTTTCCTCTCATGCCTTTTTGTTACATACCTTTGGGATTGGGCTCGGCAATGTCTCAATTTGTCATTACCTTTGCCCCATAATGTCAGAACTCTTCTTGACCAATGGATCACACCCAATATTTCAAAGATGGGAACTATTCTTTGGAGATCTATTTGGGTTAGCCTTCTTTGGAGTGTGTGGAAGGAAAGAAATAAAATAGTTTTTTATAGTAAAAGTACAGATCTGTCTACATTAAAATCGAATATTTTGGCAGTTGCAGCTGATTCGTTCTTCGCTCATAAGGATAGTGACTTTATTCCTAAAAGTCTTATCATTAGTAATCCCTTGGCAGTTGCAACTATAGGTATTACCACCGACACTTATAATGAGGTTGTTTGGATACCACCACCAGTGAATTCCTTTAAACTTAATTTTGATAGAAGTTCACTTGGCAATCCAGGACCAGCTTGCTATGGTGGTCTCATCAGAAATAATTGTCACATTATATTTTCTTACTCGAGTCCTTGTGGTATCACAACAGCAAATGAGGCTGAAGCACGAGGTTTATTAGAAGGTTTGAAATTGCTATGTACTTTGGAAAGGGACAGGATTATCGAAGGAGAATCAGCAAATGTCATTGCCTGGAGCAAGAGAAAGACCCATATTCCTTTGAGATTAAGGACCATTTTTCATCAAATTTCGGATATTTTGTCAACTTCTATGGCAACAGT